TGACCGCACCACTCCTTCCCCCGGCGGAGGGCCGGGTGGAGAAACCTTTGTTCCTGTTTTTTTCTGTTCCGCCGCTGGCTACCCAGCCAGTGGTGCCCAAAACCTCAACAGAAGAGCGTTTTCCTTTTTCTCCGGGTTCCAAGAGGGCGAGGATGGTAGTGCGCAAGACCCAATCTCCACATGGCCGTCCCCCTCTCCCTTCGCCAATGAGCAGCAGGGTTCAGTTCAAGGACGCTATGCCTCCTCACGAGCCCCCTGCCCAGCCGTGGAGCCAGGTAAGTGGCGCACCGCGCACTCATACCCCACCCTGGGACGCACGGAAGCCTCCCGGGCTGGGTCCCTGTGTTCCATTGCGCTGCCCCACTGCGGGTACGTTGGTGGTTTCCCTAGTCCCGCCTGTTCGGTCGCTGGGGGCCTGGTTAGCGTGCCCCAGGCCGAGGAAGCATGACTTGATCATCAGGTTTCTCAGAGTTACCTGTTACCCTCCATATGTGTAATTCCACATGATACCTCCTATGCGCAGGATGTGGAACCGAGACGTTTTTCTGCTAAAAATCAAAATTGCGATTAAAGGTTTGCGCTTTGTAAAGTTTAGGCAAACATTTTTTTGATTATATATCAATATGACTATAGAAGTATAATACTATTTATTATGATGATAAATATTTTTATATTATTATTAAATAAAAAAAATTAAAATAATAAGAAACATCATTGTAATATTTAGCAAAAATAAAAGAAATTTTAAATATACTAAAATAGTATTTAAAATAATAATATAGTAATATTTATTATTAAAACTGTAAAATTACAATAACATTTATGGCCTTCTTATTCTTCTTCATTTTTGTTAAAGAGTCAAATGTTTATTCTGAACAAAACACCAGGAGCCCTTAAAGTTTCTCTTTTGTTCACAGCAGCCGGTTTATAAGCTCTTCTCATTACAAGTATGGGAAGGCACATATTGCACTTTTTAAGCAAATTCAGATCAGATGCAAAGATGGAGTTTGTGAGGAGCAGCATTTACTGTGAACCAAGCTGCTCCAAAACACTGGATCATAAACTGCATGTCTGTAATTGAACACTGTGCCATGCTTCACTCCAAAACACGCAGCACATATATTGAATTAAATTGCAATTTGAAAATCGTAGTGAACCATATTGCAATTTCATTTTATTTTGATTAATCATAGCCCTAATCTAAACTAGTATTTTATATATATGTCAAAAGATGCCTCATTAAACAAATCAGATTACACCATTAACCATTATTGATTAATCACTGCTGCAAAAATTTGCTTTTCGGCCTAGTGTAGCAGCAAACAGAGGAGCTCAATGACCTATTAAAGTACGTCCTTCACAAGTTTCTCTGAATTATGTTTTTCCACTAACATCAACCCCTGGAGCTACACTTACACCTCCAGACAGCTCAAAGTCTCAGAAAAGAATTAAAGAAATAAAACTTCACTCTTGGCTCTCACATCTCCGAGCACACTAAATCGTCTCTGCATCAGGACCTCATTTCCCATGAGCCCCTGCAGGCATGACTCTCATCATCCCCCAGTGCTATGAGGGGGTCTATACAGCACAATCCCAGAGGACCACCCAGATATTCTCTGTCATGTGAAAACCTGCTCCACCAAAAAACTTCGACACAACTATAGACTTCCAACCTGGGTGTGATCCAGAGATGACATCTCAGCAATCCCATCATCTACTTCAGCATCCACTCAACATGGTAGGGGGTCAGAGCACCAGCTTTGCTAGAGCTGCAGAGGCTTGTGTCGACTGATCTCAGAGCAGTGGCACCAGCCCCGGGGGTCTCCACAAACAAGCATGGGCTTATGTAGAGATCAATCTTCAATGCGGAGCAGCAGGCGCACTGGAGCAGATTACTCCGACACACCAGCGCATGAGCTCAGAAGAATGGATTAGATGTTCTGGGCCTTGAATCGGTCTCTGTACATTTAGCTTTTTATAGAGTAAGGCAGCATGTTCCTAGGAAGTGGGTCTTTTCATTAGAGATGGACCGATACACAGCAGCCCCAAAAATCTTTAGACACTTTTGGACACTTAAGTCACACTTATAAATCTGAATGTCACTGCATTAGATACAAAAAAATAAATCATTAGATACAAAATAATAAAACAAGTGGCATCTGAATTTTTTTTTTAAATAAATAAAAAAAACACTGAAAACCACTTTCTTTTTATGATATATTTTGCTTGTAAAAGCATGTTTGTTTGGTTGTGCTGTCTTATAAATAACTAAAATGCCATTTGGTTTGACATTTTATTATATAATGTTATATATACCGTTCAAAAGTTTGTGGTCAGAAAGTTTTTTTTTTGTAATACTTTCATTCTATGGAGGACCAAAGTTCTCTAAATGAAATGATTAAATAAATAATGAATTCAATAAAACAATGTACCAATTTATTCTGAAATAATTATATAATTCTGAAATAATTAAATTAATAAAAGAATCAAAAATTAAATGTATCCGTTTATTTTGTAAAACTCCATGAAAATCTTTATTGTTTAAAATATTTCACAATATCCTCTTTCACACACTACTTCTGTGTTTAAATACATCTTTTCATAATAAAATGTGCTTTTCCAAAAAGCTGTTTTTCATAATAATATGCTGAATTTATGAATGACGTCTATTTGACGTATCATGTATTTCCAAACCACAATTGGTTTAAAGTTGAAGAGCAGGCAGATGTGACAAATCGATCTTTGTGTGGTTGGTGACATTAGTGATGGAACACCAAGTTCACAGTTTTTCCCACGTACTATGCACCTGCAAGCATGGCGAATAAGACATTATCAGTCTCATTAAGTCAAAATAATCTTAAATAAAATGTTCTAAACATGCTATATAAATAAATATGGCCTTTAAAAATGTTTAATGAAGGTCTCCTCTGCCCGTTCCAATGGGGGGTTAACCATTATATCATCCACCACAAGCCGTCCCAGTGCAGTGCGTGGGAACATTTATCTGTATTGATTTGTTCTATGCATCAGGGGGTCCCAGGGCTCGAGATTCGCAGGGTAGGACGGGGCAGTGATGCTGGGTGCAACTAAAAAGGTCCCATTTTCCAGCGAGTTTCAGGTGGGGAGTTAAGGACGGCTGAAGCCCTGGCTTCTGCGGCCTCATATCACACGATCCTCTTGACTGTTTACTTCCTGAACTGACATTTTCTTTAGAGCGCTATTCAGCGCAAACCCCGCCCAGCAGCCAATTTCATTGGTTAAGGTTACGAGGTACACTGTAAAAAATTATCTCGAAGTTTAGTTGTTTCAATGGATTTTTTTAAGTTGACAATTGCAGTTTCTAAATTTGATCATTCAACTTAACATTTTAAGTTTTCACTGTCTCAACTAGTTTGTAAATTGACTGAACTAGAGTATTAGCCCCTCAACTTAAAAAAATGTGTTGAATCCACTGATCTATATGATGACTGGATTGCTCATTGCATTCTAAACTGCCGTCAGGGGGTGAATCCACCAGAAGTGTTCGAGCGGCCATCTTACTATTCCCTTCCGGCTGAGAGCATCGTTGACTGACAGCCGAAACACTGACCTAAAATCATCTGATCTGAAGCTTATCAGACACACAGGATTAGTTTTTAGGATATGTTGTGTATGTCAATTAATTGTTACTTCAGATGTTATCTGCAATGTTTATGGTCTTTTCGAACAGGATAAGCGATATTGATGTATTAAACATGTACATATGATCTATAATAGAGAACTGGATTGCTCATGACGTCATAAAAGTGAAGCTACCACGCCGCCATATTGGTATTCCCATTCATTCTAATAATTAATTAAAGGGGTCCTATTATGCTCTTTTACAAAGCCTTGATTTTGTTTTGGGGGTGTACTAGAACAGGCTCTCACATAGGTTGTTCGAAAAACACATTCTTTTTCACATATTTTACATTATTACAACACCTCTCTTCCCAGTCTGGCATGAACGGCTCGAATAGTTCCTGTATCAAATGAAGGCCTGGTTTCTGAAATACGAAATGTGCTGTGATTGGTTAGCTGGGCCAGTGTGTGTTGGGATTGGCACCACTCGGCGACCGGTCGGGAAATGTCATGCCCCTTACCATAGCCGCCTGCGAGCTTCAGTGTAAATATTGAGTCAAAATCAAATCAATTTGACCGTGATTTAAACCCGGATGATTGTAACCACTAAGTTCGTCTGCTTTGGGAAAGCTAGTGTGTCTCCGACATAGTGATAACACTCGCTGCCTTCTCTAGTGCGGCTCAACCAGGTCTCGTCCCATTCGTCGATATTTGTGATATCACAAATCCCGGAAAATATGCGTTGTAGTCCAAACGTTGCTCCATTTGAACATAAAAAAATACATGCATCATAACTTATTCAGAGAAATAACACTGACTACATACTGTACAGTCTTAAAGACATGAGCTTTATTTCCAAGATGATGCATGGTAAGCTTTGAATTTCAATACAACATACAGCAATATTAACAGAGGCTTGTATTGTAATAGTAATTGTATATCCAAATCAATTTCTGATAGTAATACCATGGTATATCTATGAGAATTATCTAAAAAAAATTAAACATTTTGTGTGATTTGACTGTGAAGACATTTACACAAATTTCTATAAAACCAACAAACCTTTCTATCTGCTATATGAAACATGAAGGAAGTGAATGTGAAACACTCACATGCACACCCTCTTCACTCCTGAAGGTGATCAGGTTGTCTCTAATCAAGGTTGAGAGCTCCTGAGCCTGTTTCAAGTGTGTTGAGGGCTGAAGACCACATGTATATTTAATGGGGTGACGTCTGCTGCTTATCAAAATCATCAGCGTGTTTGAGGGGTATGATGATGAATGCATATGTCAAGTTATTAATAAAACGTGGTCATCTAATGCTCTTCTACCTGTATGTCTATCGTATATGTAATGATGTAGGCCATTAAGTGGAGAGCAGTATTGGTGAAGGTGCTGCACCTGTGCTGTGTAAAAAGTCACTCCAGCTGAAATGTGATGCCACTCTGGTCTCAATCCCTGGAAACATATGTAGACGTTTCAATAATTATATAACATATTATATTTCAAAAATATTCAAAGACCTTTCAAAAATGCAGTTGGCCTACAACTTGCAGTATTAATAAACTCTACCTTGAGGCTGTACATAGATCTTCTTGCTCTCACATACCTGGAAAAAATGGTCAAGAAATAAATGTTAGATCCCCACTGGACATTTGTAGTGTAAGATGTGCGTTCCCAACCTACTGACTAATTAATTTCAATGACTTCTCCACTGGTTCATGTTTACTAGGAAAAAACTGTTAATAATAATAATTCTTATTATTATTTTACTAATTTTAGATATTAATATTACTTTATGAATGACCCTGGAAGCCCTGCAGATGAAAATAAACCTAAAAGTCAATCGTTAGAATTTCTCTTTTTATGATAATAGAGTTATCCAAGTTCAAAGTTCATGCCCAAAACATGTCCTTGGCTAATGTAATAAAAGAAAAAAATCTGCTGAAAAAAATCTCGAATCCATGATTTGCCTAAATCAATACCAGCTGAGGGAAAAAAAACAAACAAAAACAACACAGCAGCAGGAAGGTAATAAAAGAATAAAATGTAAATGGCTGGTTGAGATAAAGTGGATCATTTCACACAGATAGAGGGGAAATTGGCTGGATGTTATCAGTCCTGGGAGAGGGAGACCCCTGGTGTGTGTGTGACAAAAACAGAGACATCCTGTTTGCCTTGACTTGTGTGTCTGGGGTTTCATTTGAGGATAACGCATGGAAATAGTGATTTTAATGCTGTGCTATTACAGGATTGAAGGCAGGATATTGCATCTGTAGCTGTTAAATCCTTTTGTATTATTTATAGCATCAGCTAGCGCAGTAGTTGTCTGTCTCTCTCCTTTTTTCCTCTTCTCTAACCCATTAGGAATAAACACTGCCATTTTTATTACCTCATTTACTCAATATCCTTTCAATGTTCCAATACTTTAAGTGCAATTAGGACATTTTCTACTACATACACTACAGTTCAAAGTTTAGAGTTGGTAAAATGTATTATTTAATTTTTTTTGGACTTCTTTTACGCTCACCAAAGCTGCATTTGGTCAAAAATACAGTAAAAACAGTAATATTGTACAATTTTATTACAATTTGAAATTACTAATTTCTGTTTGAATATATTTTCACAGCATTCTATTTTGTGCAACAAAAAGTTAATACTGATTTCATATAAACTTTTTAAACCTCTTTACTGCACTCTGAACAGCAGTTCATATATAGTACATGTATGAAAAGGGCTCTTGACAGCTGCTGAAAGTTTGCTCTGGCATGTCAACAACAGAAGTTGTAAGAACCCAGAGCTGTGAACCCTAACGTTTCTTACCAAGAGCACCTTGGCGCGTTCTTTCAACTTATCAGTGAACGCCACAGCAAACCTGAGTGTGAGAGAGAGAGAGAGAGAGAGAGAGAGAGATGAAGAAAGTGAGTTGACATGTTTAACATGTAAAGAAACATGAAGTCAGATTTCTGCACTGGTTTGTGATAGTGAGGTTCACCCCAGCGACTGCGTTCAAACGTTTTCATTTCACCACAATTTCACACTTTCCCAGACATCAAAGCTGTCAGTGGCCGTCAAAAATCTGTAAATCAAACAAGTCAAGCAACGCAAAAAAAAGCAATGCAATGCAATCACTGAGTAACACTTAAAGTCAGGCTGATGAAGAGGAAGAAGACGAAGCTCCCTTTATTCAAACTCAAACAAACGCACATACACGTACATACATAAGACATAAGGTCCTCTTCGATTTTTTGGGGGGGCATGTTATGCTAACAATGATTTTGAATAAAGAAAAGCAGACAGTGTGTTGTTATTTTTCCAAATTATTGCAACTAAACCACAATGGTTTCCTTACATCCCCTCTTCATCATCCCCCGTCCCTCGGTTCTCTTTCAGGAGATGTCAGTAACGGCAGCAGCAGGGGGTCTTCTCTGGGAGATGTGTTTGAAGTAGAAGGCCTCTTATAGCTCTTATGCTCCCTAGTGATAATTATTCACTTAAGATTGTCAAAAGGGTGCGAGTCTGCCTGTACTAATCAAACAGATCACATGAATCTATAACACCTGGCTAATGAATTGAAACCAAAGCTGGCAGGCTTTGGGTAAAGATTCAGTTTATTATAGATGAAAAAGAGAAATGCCATATAATACCAGATCCTATAAACATTTTTTAGGCCAAAGCCCTATTGGAGGATTAAAAAATGTATTAAAAAAAAAAAAAAAAAGGAGAGAGACTATACACTACTGTTCAAAAGTTTGGGGTCAGTATATATTTTTTAAAACACAGTACTTGTCAATAGTTTGAAAAATGTATATATTTTTATATTTATATGTTTTATAAGTCTCTTGGGCTCACCGAGGCTGCATTTATTTAATCAAAAATACAGTAAAAAGAGTAAAATTGCGAAATATTATTACAATTTAAAATAACTATTTTCTATTTGAATATATTTGAATATATTTTCAATATATTTTCAGCATCATTACTCCAGTCTTCAGTGTCACGTGATCTTTCAGAAATCATTCTAATATGCTTATCCAGACCACCTTATCCAGTACAGATTAGAAGAATAATTAAAGACCAATCTTAGAAGAAGAGATTAACAATATACTCGTAAATTTATATAATCCTCTTTCATATTGTTCACGTACAAATAAAAAGCTTTTACTCGCCCCTCACTCCAGACCTATACTATATCTTCATTTTTGTGGAGCACAAACGTTTTAAAGAATGTTCTGGAGATTTCAAGCTTCAAAAAAGGTGCAAAAGCACCATCAAGCAGCATGTAGTCTATATGACTACACTCTAAAAAATGCTGGGTTAAATACAACCCAGTGCTGGGTAAAATAGGGACAAACCCAGCAATTGGGTTGTTTTGACCCAGCGGTTAGGTTACTACCCAGAATGTTGGGTTAAACATTTAACCCAACCGCTGGGTCAAAACTGCTGGGTTTGTCCCTATTTAACCCAGCACTGGGTTGTATTTAACCCAGCATTTTTTAGAGTGTAGTCTTCTGAAGCCATATGAATTATTATATGAGAAACAGACAGGTTACATTTTTTATTGCATGGAAAAGAACAACCAGTACATTCTTTAATATCTCTTCTTTTGTGTTCCACAGAATAAAGGAAGTCATACAGGTTTGGAATGGGTCGTAAATGACAGAATTTTCATTTCTGGTCAAACTATTCCTTTAATTATGTCTGTGTAGAGCAGGGGAGCAGGATAAGTGTCAGCTTTCATCAAAGTAAATTTGACCTGGCCTTCCGCAGAACTTCCTCCATCACAGCTCTCTTGTGCTCATCTTTTACGTCCTCGTTGACATCCGTCCCTCCAAACACCACCCCAAACGGCACTCCAGCATCTGCAGAGAAATGAAAATTCACAACAAATACATACATCCCTTATTTCACTTATTCACCTCCTCTGAAGTTCAACTTTTAAATCCTTAGTGAGCAAAGTCTTTGAGGCATGAAACAGTGTGTTTATCTTGCCAGAGGGGAAAGCAGTCATCCATAGAGTGGACATTTCGGGAAATTACTCAAAAAAATGCCATATCTGAGGGAGGTGAGAGAGAAGTAGCCTTCAATCTTAACAAGACATTCTGTGAGTAAGAATGTGAGTAACAATTTATCAGTCAACAGCCAGTTTTCTAAATTAAAGCCATAAACTGATAGAGGAAGCTGACAATATATCATATGATTAAATATCATATAAAAAATACTGTAAATGTTGGGGTACCATGGTACAGTGATGGCCTCACATGGTAATACCATGGTACTCTAATATATACTATGGTAATAAAATGATTACCATCTTCATATGCCATAATATTTCAAATAATATCATGGTGCATGGTACAAAAAACACAGTAACACCATGGTACTTTTTTGTAAATGTGGAATTTCAGTCATGACAAAAATACTTATTGGCTAAACACATGCATGTAAATATAAGGCATTGTCAATGAAATGGAAAAAAAAATCGAAACGTTAAAGCAAGCAGAAATGAGTATGAACAATCAAATATCCAATATTAGTCGATGCCAAAAATAAAATAAAAACACTAATAATGGCTGATAACTGATATAGTATCAAAACAATGTGCATCCCTAAACAAAATACTACTATAAAACGTATGGTGTAGTGTGCAAGTAGCTGCTTCCACTTTATCTATCACCAGTGAAGTCATAAATTGTGTGATAGAGCTCTATAGTGGACAGTAACACTAATGAGACAAGATAGATGTGTGTACAGTATCTGTGTGTGCAGGCGGGGCTCTGTGGTGCTCCACCTCAGAAGAAAATCAATTGCATCTACGAGATGCTCTTACTAATATGGTGAAACCAACACATGCGTAAATTTTTTGAGAGGCCAAGGGACGTGTCACCTAAAAGAAGCCTGCCTCCTTTGAAAAGATGAATGGCCAGCGCAGCCTCGAACCGCGGCTCTTGCGTCATCAGGGACGATACATCAGAGGCAGAGCTGAACTCTCTTGTATCACACAGTACACAAGTATGTCCTGCAGCCACGATATGATTCCTGCAACCCAAACACACACACACACACACACACTGTATAAATCAGCATCTCTAATAAATTGGCTCTGAGCTGTTTTTTTAATTACAGCCCTTACAAAAATTCTGTGGCTGTATCATGGTACAGTGATGTAATACACCATGGTACTTTGATATACATCATGGTATTACCAAGAATACCATGATACATGTTACTTATTTGTACAACAGCTTGTTGTATGTGCATTATGCAGTGCAATACGTGACATCATGAGATATAATACAGTACAGCATCTCTAATAAATTGGCTCTGAGCTGTTTTTTTTAATAACAGCCCTTACAAAAATTCTGTGGCTGTATCATGGTACAGTGATGTAATACACCATGGTACTTTGATATACATCATGGTATTACCAAGAATACCATGATACATGTTACTTATTTGTACAACAGCTTGTTGTATGTGCATTATGCAGTGCAATACGTGACATCATGAGATATAATACAGTACACGTTGATTTAAGATGCTAAATCGTTTTATTTAATAACTGATCGCCTTACAGGGTTAATACTACTAGGATAAGCTCTTTTGTTGACTTGAGAATCAACAGAGGACTGGTAATTCCTGGTTTCGATAATCAAACAGCAGAGTGTTACCTTATTCTTTCGGCAGTGGTACAGTTCCCTGTTTTGGGACTGTTTGGGGCTAAGAAGAGCACGCGCATTTCAGCGGGTGGCGATAAAATGCTGAGGCTAATAAACAAAGAGAGCTCGCCTGCCAGCAGACTCGACCTGACTCTGGTAACCTCATGCTGCTGTCGCGTCAGAGCAGCAGCCTCGACCTGACTCTGGTAATCTCATGCTGCTGTCGCGTCAGAGCAGCAGCCTCGACCTGACTCTGACGTGACATCATGAGATATAATAGAGTACACGTTGATTTAAGATGCCAAATCGTTTTATTTAATAACTGATCACCTTACAGGGTTAATACTACTAGGATAAGCTCTTTTGTTGACTTGAGAATCAACAGAGGACTGGTACTTCCTGGTTTCGATAATCAAACAGCAGAGTGTTACCTTATTCTTTCGGCAGTGGTACAGTTCCCTGTTTTGGGACTGTTTGGGGCTAAGAAGAGCACGCGCATTTCAGCGGGTGGCGATAAAATGCTGAGGCTAATAAACAAAGCGAGCTCTCCTGCCAGCAGCCTCGACCTGACTCTGATAATCTCATGCTGCTGTCGCGTCAGAGCAGCAGTCTCGACCTGACTCTGATAATCTCATTCTGCTGTTGCGTCAGAGCAGCAGCCTCGACCTGACTCTGGTAATCTCATGCTGCTGTCGCGTCAGAGCAGCAGCCTCGACCTGACTCTGATAACCTCATGCTGCTGTCGCGTCAGAACAGCAGTCTCGACCTGACTCTGATAATCTCATGCTGCTGTCGCGTCAGAGCAGCAGCCTCGACCTGACTCTGATAACCTCATGCTGCTGTCGCGTCAGAACAGCAGTCTCGACCTGACTCTGATAATCTCATGCTGCTGTCGCGGCAGAGCAGCAGCCTCGACCTGACTCTGGTAATCTCATGCTGCTGTCGCGTCAGAGCAGCAGCCTCGACCTGACTCTGATAACCTCATGCTGCTGTCGCGTCAGAACAGCAGTCTCGACCTGACTCTGATAATCTCATGCTGCTGTCGCGGCAGAGCAGCAGCCTCGACCTGACTCTGGTAATCTCATGCTGCTGTCGCGTCAGAGCAGCAGCCTCGACCTGACTCTGATAACCTCATGCTGCTGTCGCGTCAGAACAGCAGTCTCGACCTGACTCTGATAATCTCATGCTGCTGTCGCGGCAGAGCAGCAGCCTCGACCTGACTCTGGTAATCTCATGCTGCTGTCGCGTCAGAGCAGCAGCCTCGACCTGACTCTGATAACCTCATGCTGCTGTCGCGTCAGAACAGCAGTCTCGACCTGACTCTGATAATCTCATGCTGCTGTCGCGGCAGAGCAGCAGCCTCGACCTGACTCTGGTAATCTCATGCTGCTGTCGCGTCAGAGCAGCAGCCTCGACCTGACTCTGATAACCTCATGCTGCTGTCGCGTCAGAACAGCAGTCTCGACCTGACTCTGATAATCTCATGCTGCTGTCGCGGCAGAGCAGCAGCCTCGACCTGACTCTGGTAATCTCATGCTGCTGTCGCGTCAGAGCAGCAGCCTCGACCTGACTCTGATAACCTCATGCTGCTGTCGCGTCAGAACAGCAGTCTCGACCTGACTCTGATAATCTCATGCTGCTGTCGCGGCAGAGCAGCAGCCTCGACCTGACTCTGGTAATCTCATGCTGCTGTCGCGTCAGAGCAGCAGCCTCGACCTGACTCTGATAACCTCATGCTGCTGTCGCGTCAGAACAGCAGTCTCGACCTGACTCTGATAATCTCATGCTGCTGTCGCGGCAGAGCAGCAGCCTCGACCTGACTCTGGTAATCTCATGCTGCTGTCGCGTCAGAGCAGCAGCCTCGACCTGACTCTGATAACCTCATGCTGCTGTCGCGTCAGAACAGCAGTCTCGACCTGACTCTGATAATCTCATGCTGCTGTCGCGGCAGAGCAGCAGCCTCGACCTGACTCTGGTAATCTCATGCTGCTGTCGCGTCAGAGCAGCAGCCTCGACCTGACTCTGATAACCTCATGCTGCTGTCGCGTCAGAACAGCAGTCTCGACCTGACTCTGATAATCTCATGCTGCTGTCGCGGCAGAGCAGCAGCCTCGACCTGACTCTGGTAATCTCATGCTGCTGTCGCGTCAGAGCAGCAGCCTCGACCTGACTCTGATAACCTCATGCTGCTGTCGCGTCAGAACAGCAGTCTCGACCTGACTCTGATAATCTCATGCTGCTGTCGCGGCAGAGCAGCAGCCTCGACCTGACTCTGGTAATCTCATGCTGCTGTCGCGTCAGAGCAGCAGCCTCGACCTGACTCTGATAACCTCATGCTGCTGTCGCGTCAGAACAGCAGTCTCGACCTGACTCTGATAATCTCATGCTGCTGTCGCGGCAGAGCAGCAGCCTCGACCTGACTCTGGTAATCTCATGCTGCTGTCGCGTCAGAGCAGCAGCCTCGACCTGACTCTGATAACCTCATGCTGCTGTCGCGTCAGAACAGCAGTCTCGACCTGACTCTGATAATCTCATGCTGCTGTCGCGGCAGAGCAGCAGCCTCGACCTGACTCTGGTAATCTCATGCTGCTGTCGCGTCAGAGCAGCAGCCTCGACCTGACTCTGATAACCTCATGCTGCTGTCGCGTCAGAACAGCAGTCTCGACCTGACTCTGATAATCTCATGCTGCTGTCGCGGCAGAGCAGCAGCCTCGACCTGACTCTGGTAATCTCATGCTGCTGTCGCGTCAGAGCAGCAGCCTCGACCTGACTCTGGTAACCTCATGCTGCTGTCGCGTCAGAGCAGCAGCCTCGCGGACGCACACGCGTGCAGGTTATTTCAGCACTAGTCCGTTTGAAATGAAGACCCTCCGGAAACACGGAGCTGTAGTGTGCGCTGAACATGAAAAAGATCAAATGTGGCTCCCAATCATATCTAAATGTGTTAGTATGTAGATTCATAATTTGGAGTTGTACCCGATCTGTGTGGAATGTGTAGCACGCCGTGGACATGTTAGCTGTATAATGCTGTGTCGTCCCAAAATAAATAAGTAAATACAAATCAATGAAATAAATAAATAGACCGACATACAGATAGATTGACATGGTGCATTACAATGTTATTTATCAAATAACAACAATCACTTTACTTTTTGTAAAACTCCCTTTCGCTAAAATATTGGCTACTAACATTAAAAAGTTTGTAATTGTTTTTATTTTTATTTATTTATTTAAAGCTTAACAAGGCTGCATTTATTTGATCAAAAATGCAGTAAAAACTAATGGTGCTGATTACATGTAATCCAGATGATCAGATAAAAAAAATTAAGTACATGTAATTAGATTATATTACGTTTTAAAATGTTCATAATCAGATAGCATAACAGTTACTTTTTGGATTACATGATTACATATTATTCACACAATGGTAGTAGATTCTTTTTTGCTCTTTTGATATTTCCTTTGTAAAAAATCGTACTGTGTGTCATTTACTATTCACAATATGCAAATGTCACGTCAATAAATTAATGATCCATGCTTCCAAATTTGGGGACAAAAGCACCTCTCAGTCAGTTAGACCATGCATGGGACAAATAATTATGCAGGTTACTAAACACTGCTGATATAGCTGTGAAACCCTGTCTTCATCACTTTCACTAACTATTGATCTGGACAAAAGTTATATATATTTAAAGAAATATATTTTACAAATATTTAAAACCAGGAAAACTTTAGATGTGTGATGTCATTGCTGTTTTCATGTGCAGGGATCCCCAAACTTTTTTGTCCCCCAAACCCCTTTAACCTAACAATACATAGGCTATACTTGAAGATCCCTCAGATTTTATTTCTGTAATATAACAACGCATTTGCACGTACAGATCTCTGATGTCGGTTAATGGTCATACTGACATGCAGGTAAACAAATAAAATATTTCTATTTTTAGCATTCAGTCATTACTTTGATTGTTTTTTTATTTTTCTAATAATTTATTCATTTTAAAGTAGTCACAACACATTAAGTAAAATCAGTAATCTAACAGATTATGTTACTAACTACAATTCTCGTCATTTAATCAGTAAATTTGCTATATATATATATAGGGCCTATATACACTGAAAAAAAAAAAGATTTGTTGGATTTACTCATTTGAATTATGGACATTGGTTACACACATTTAGTTTGAGTTCACAGTGTCCTACACATTTATGTGGTTTCATTATAATACTTTTGTGTTAATCAGATGTATTTTCAAAAAGTAATGTGTACATAGTCATCCTAACATAATTCCGTTATGTTAGCTTAACATTATTATTTTATTTTAGATATATGCTTCGATCATGTTAAATCTGTGCAATTAAATCAAGTTATCTTAACAT